TCTCCCTTGCTCCCGAAGGGATGAGACCAGTGGAGTATCTTAGATGGCCGCTCACAGGCTTTTAAGACCCCAGACCCTACTCACCAAGGTAGAATATAGAGCATTGCCTTTATCAGCTGTGTTATGCCAATTGAGCTAGATGTTCCCCTCAAGATAATTTTTATAGGTCAAGAGGCTTTCTCTAGCTCTTAAAAAAAAAAAAGAATTTATTTCACATGCAATCCTCAGACAATACTGGTACATGTAGCAGATGATCTTTTGGTTTGGGGCTATCCTTCAGTTCAGAAAGCGGCCCTTTGACAGGCATGTGCATGGATCACAGGCCTAGTAGGTTGTTCTTCTGCATTGACTTCATTCCACTGTTGAATCATGTAGGGATCAGCTGGATAGAATTTTATTTCCGACATCTTTCACAGGTTTTTCAAAATACTGTTAAATCATATATTTCCAGCCTATATTACAAATTCTCAACCCCAAGTATATTTTTTCGCAGTCATAAATTCTTTCTGATTAAGTTTCATGGCATTAAATGTCGTTAGATGTTAGATACAGGAGGTAGGTAACATTTTGATATCCACAAATAGGTTGAAATAGTTACAAATTTAGACTATAACTCTGAGCTCTTACAGGTGCTGTGTCATTGTTTTTGATTTGTGTGGATAAAATTCCTTAACATTTACATCTTTAGTGAATTTTATAAAATCTTTTTTATATTAACAGCAGTAGACAATGAGTGAGTGAGGAGACCTGAGCTGTTGTCCCGGCTTTGCTAATATTCTCTGTGCTATAAAGCGCCTGTTCCATGCAAGAGCAGAGTAAATGTTGGAGGAATGCAAAAGTGAATAATGTATGATTCCTACAATCATAGAGTTTCCTCAGTGATAAAACTTAGGTTATTGAACAAAGTAATCTCAAAGACCAATAACAAACAGTGGGTAGGGTTTCTTTTTATGATGAAGATAATTTATTACAGTTTTCAGCTTCCAGAAAACTTCAGTTTTTCCACAGTAGCCCTGTGAAACAGGTGATACGGTTATCTTCCCTTTTTCTTTTCTTTTCTTTTTTTCCCCATAGGCAAGGGAACTTAGTCTCAGTGAGTTTAAGTAATTATCCCAAAGTAGGTAATTGGGATAGCCGAGTCATTTGACTCCAGATCCCAAATTTAGTTTAGTTGTACATCATCACAACAAGTGCTTGCTATACGTATGTGTATAGATGTAGATACGTTGTTGGGTGCCATCGAGTCAATTTTCCACTCATAGCGACCCCATGTGACAGAGTAGAACTTCCCCATAGGGTTTTCTAGGCTGTAATCTTTATAAAAGCAGATCTCTAGATCTTTTTCCCACAGAGGTGAATTGTGTTGATTCAAACTGCCAACCTTTCAGCCAAGTGCTTAACCATTGAGCCACCGAGGCTTGTATGTACATGCCATGAATTCTTCCTTGATGATGACAGGCAGTATTCCAAGACCAGGCTTCTAGATTAGGCTGTGTCCTCCCATCTATTATTGGCCCTGGGTATGCCTGAGGGCTCACTTTATTTCTAGACCTTTGCCACACAGTTGATACTGGCTGCCAGTGAGTGGCCCTGCAGCTGGAGGGCTTCCCAACCCAGGAGCCAGTTAATGGAACGACTGTAAACAGTGCCAGGTTGGACTATCTCTGTTACTGTTGCGTTTTAACCTGAACTGTGAGCCGTTATCCAGGCCATCAGAAAAATGCTATTTTTCCTGCAAGACCCAACCTACTCATCTCTAGACTCGGGACTTCAGTATCTGTGAAATCCGAAATGGTTCTCCGGCTCTCCTTATTGTTTATCTTAACAAGTACTGTTGAGTCCCTGTTGTGAGGCCAGCTGAGCTAGGTGCTGTGGAATAATTTCCTTAATGTCATTATTGAAAGTGTAACAGGAGATTAGGCACATGACTGCCAAAATGAGTGGTGCAGGCAATAGGTGCTCAAATTCAGATTACTGTGGCTGGACTTGATGGACTTTTTATTCATCTAAATTCTAGTAATTGCTGAATAAAACCATTTATTTTTATTCTTGTGTTTGAAATAATGTATTGGTTTAGGTTTTCTCAGAAAGGAGACCAAAATTACAATTAATGTTCAGTACTCAATCCTCTGAAGGAGGGATTTCTTAGCTCTTCCCTCCGGTTTTATTGTTATTTTCTTTTTGTGTAAATAAGATTTCTGTTTCTATTTCCAAACAATAGGAAGAAGAAAAAACATTCTATTTTAAAACACTTGGGTGAATTGTGTAATTTCAGTGATAAAGGGATAATACCACTTGATATTTATTTTGCCTTTCTTTTTTTTTGTTTGGTCAGGGGTGAAAGCATGTCTACAAAGAAAAGTATGTGAACAGGAAGAAAAGTATGAAATTCCTGAAGGTCCTCAGAGAAGCAGACTCAACAGAGAACAGCTGGTATTTTTCTTTTGATACTACTTTCATTGTTCTTAGTATGACTTAATATTATCGCCGTCAGGAAAGACTGCTCCTGCCCTTTCAACAAGTACAGGTGACTGATTAAAATTTTAATCGTGCTTATTTCAAGCACTTGATTCTGAAAGATGATCACGATGAGCAGTAAAGTCCAGAAGGCAATAATTTCATACTGTTAATGGATTTTTGGCATCTTGAACATTCCCATAAACCTTTCAGAAGCTGAGGTGAGTCTCAGATACAGGAAGTAGCTGGAAAGAAGACTTTACAGCTGCTGCTCGGATTTAGTTACCATATGTCTTTATTGCCACATATTGCAGTTTTAACAGATAATATTCCATTATCCGGTTGATATATAAGCATATTAGAAATGATGGGGGAAAATTTCTATAGAAGGGAATTGTGAAACTTTCTCTCTTTTTTAAAGCTCACAGAAGTGTGTTTCATAGCTAACTGGATCCTTAGGCATGGCTTTATAATCTGTTGTACTCCAAACAATATATCTCTGGAACCTAGAGGCCACAGTCCCACCATGGCTGCCCTGGAGACCTTTAGTTGCTAATACCGTATAAGGACCTGAATATGTATGGGTGGTACTGGATAAAGGTCCACAGGAAAGCTGCTACTCTTGTAATTTAATTCAGTTTAGCCAGGTGCCCTTGAAGCATATTTCAGATAGTCTAGGAATATTTAGTGTATATATACTCTAGGAACATGTACTCTAGTACATTTCAGATACTCTAGGAGTTCTTGGGGCTTTAAGTCCTGACAAATATGAATAAGCATTCTCATAAAAGAACCTTATGAACAGTTTTTGTGTATTGTTTTTCTTGGTACAAAACATACCTTTAAATTTTGAGAGAGTGAAGAGAACCCAGAGTGTTGACTGAATCTTCGGGAAATAAAAATTGTAAACTGGAAAGCCTTATTTGCATAAGTACTTTTCTTGATGTTGTTTCTTAACTACTCTTGATTATTATTTTTATTGCCATCATTCATATGCAGTGTTTTAAAATATTTTGATCTGTTTTCAGCAAGTTTTTCTCTTGTTATTTCAGTTGCCAAAGCTGTTTGATGGTTGCTACTTCTACTTTGGGGGAACCTTCAAGCACCATCCAAAGGACAATCTAATGAAGCTGGTCACTGCGGCCGGGGGGCAGATCCTCAGTAGAAAGCCAAAGCCAGACAGTGATGTGACTCAAACCATCAACACTATTGCATACCACGCCAGGCCTGATTCTGATCAGCGCTTCTGCACGCAGTATATCATCTATGAGGATTTTTCTAATTATCGCCCAGAGAAGGTTCGTCAGGGCAAAGTCTGGATGGCTCCTTCCAGCTGGTTTATAGACTGTGTGATATCCTTTGAGTTGCTCCCTCTTGACAGCTGAATACTGTACCAGATGAACATTTCATTCTGAACCTCTGCAGTGTGTGAGAACCCAGCCACTGTGCTGCTTTGATCATTCACTTCTTGTGAATAGGTAGTCATTTGTGTATTCTTCTTCTTTTGAATTTAAAAAAAAACCTTCTTCCAGATTATGAATTGATTCTGTATTTACCACTTAGATGCTGGGATTGCCTTGAAGGATTTTTCTTTTTATAACGTATATGGTTTGATTCATCATGTCTTTCTATTCAGATGATTAGCTATCAAAGATTAATGAGAGGGTATCAGATCTATTGGTTAAATATACAAATGGTATTATTGTTTCATCCTTTTAATGTTCTTTGATGAAAAATATTTATAACTGCCACCAGCAAAATACTTCATATCCTTTAGTGAGCAGAGAATATTGTCAAATAATTTATTCTGGCTTTATTGTTATTTAAAGTAGAGCACCTGGTCTAAGTATGCCACCATTGTGTAAAATTTTGCCCCGTCTACAATTGTCTTTGCCTTACATTGTATATGTTAATTTAGTTTCTTATAAGAGTTTACTTGGATGTTTCTTCCTAAATTTTTGTTCTTATTTTGACCTTGCCCATACATCAGGAAATCATGATTTGAACTTTAACATTATTATTCTTTGGTGGTGAAAATCAACAGTGGGCTCATGGTACCTATTTTTATTATGTACACTTGCTTATTGTTAACTACCAGTTTATAACTGTGTTTATCTAAAATATATATACTTAGAGCATTTGCTCTAACACACTTTAGTATCAGTATTTTTTAGAGCTTCCTACACTAGCAAATTATTAATTAAATGTCAGTAAATTGGGAAGTAGTCTTTTTCTGGTCAGCTTTGCTAGGCATTGTTAAACTACTTTTTTGAAGGCCCTAGTTTCTTCTTTTGTAATTTTTTTTGTTTTGTTTTTTAGATTTTAGGTTAGTGTGGAGGCAATAGTTGGAGATTACTTGATTTAAAGCAGATTTTTTTCAGAACATACCGAAGGCTACAATAGAAAGTGTGGAGGTAGGAGCTGGAAGGGCTTACCCCGACCAAGACAGAGAAGGCAGCAGAGTAGTGGACAGGACACCACCCTGACAAGGGGGAGATCTGGGTAGATTATTTTGGTCTGAGTGTTCTCATTTGTGAAGTGAGAATTGATAGATCCTTTTCAGTCTTCTTTTTTTTTTTAAGAAGCAGAAGTCTTTAAATAAATCTTTTCTAGAAGTCGAATGTAGTTATAATATTAAATATGTGAGGAGGAGGATCTGTGAGACCTTTTAGTATAGTTCCCTGTGGGCCAAAGAGGACAGTTGGATACCCACTGGATTAGACAGTCCCTAATTTTAAAGTACTGTGAAGTTAATCACCATTTTGAGATCCATTTATTTGAAAGTCTGTGATTCTGCTGATCATTTGAAAATACGTTAGATTTTAGTTTCTTCTTTTGCCGTGTTATTTTTCTGTATTAAGAAATAGAATATGTAAACAAAAAATATACTACTATTGCTGACCTTCCTGGGTGAAGGAGCTCTGAAACACGATGTACAACCCGTAGTGTGTGTGTCCCACATTTCACTCTAATGGAGAGTGATGAACGCCATAGCACCAAACAACTCCAAGGGTTTAGATAATGTCTGGATTAAATAATTTAAGACTCCCTGGGGTTTGGTTGTCATTTCTGATTTACAACTGATTTTTAGTCACTCTGATTGTCTCATAGGTCATGTTCCTAGACAGGTGTGTGTCTGCTCCTCTGATCTGAATCTCTGTTTCCAAAAACACCTTTGGGGTTTCTTGCTCCCTTTGTTTCATTCGTTTTCTTGGTTTACCCCTCTCTACTTTGTGTTCTTTGCCATCATTAAGCAGTTTCAGTTTTGTCTCTTTAAATATTTATTTTGACAGCAATTGATTTATGTAAGCTCTTGAAACTTGGGATTGCGCTTTCTGTATTGATATACTTGTAATTATTTTCATTTCTCAGTCATAAGATTCAAGTTTCCTTTTTATTTACCACAAATCATTAAAGTTACTGGTTTTTCCATGTATCTGTGTCTTCCATAGAAGTGGTTTATTCTGTGCTATTGAAGAATGACACTCAAAAAGATTTGTGAGGAAAATTTTTCAGATAACAAAAGCCTATCTCTTCAAATACTAATACTTTTTAAATTATTTTGGTTAGAAATAGTTCTAAAGCATATTGGATACTTTATTACTTAAAATAAGTTATTCTGAATACAATGTAACTTGGTATTTCTGAGTCATCATTAAGAGCAGCAATTTTCAGTTATTACACAGTGATCCCTTCATGGTTCTGTTGAAGTCAGATTGTGGCTTCTCCCAGCAGCATTTCACATGGATGTTTTCTAGTTCTTCTGCCTCCTTTTTGTAATCTTTTCCTCTCTTCTGCCTGAGAGCTGTTACTTTTTATCTATCTCAACTAATACTTTACCCTGTCTTTTAATTTTTTCTTCTTTGGACTTACCAAGGAATGAAAAAAACTGAATAGCAAGTATATTAGAAATACAACTGATGTAAAAAAATAAGCAATGTGTGAGGGTTTTAGTTATTCACTTAAGAGTTAAATAGTTGCATTTTAGTAGATAGAATTTACCGTTTATTTCATCTGCCTGAATTTCTTTTGGGCCTGCCTACTCTGTGAATATAGCAGTTAAGTGAACTCTGCTGCATAGATGAGGATTATGTTTTGGGAAGTTTGACGTTTTCTGTGGGAGTAAAAAGATGAGGGGCGTCCCCCTGGGCGGTGCAGAAGGTTCAGAGCTCAACTATCAGCCAGAAAGGTTGGTGGTTCACACCCACCCAGAGGTGCCTTGGAAGAAAGGCCTGGGGATCTACTTCCAAAAGGTATGGAGTATGCACTATGGAGTGCAGTTCTATTCTGCACACATGGGGTCACCATGAGTCGAAATCTATGTGACGCCAGCTGTTACAACTGATAAGAAGATGGGGAGGGGGCATATTAATTGTTACATCTTCCATGGGTCGAGGTAGAAAAAAGTCAGTTGTGTCCTAAAGGTTCTATGGACCTCTTTATAGTCACAAATGACTATTCTGTCCCCTAACCAGAATACATTAAAATGGCAGAAGATAATGCTACTTTAATAACTAAGTCACTATTTTGTTTGACGGTGGATTGAACTACAAGTTATGAACTTAAGGTTTGTCATTATAAGTCAATTCTTTCCAAAGATAAGTGCATCAGACCACCTAATAAATGGTGAAGATTGAGCAGTCCATTTAAGAGTTTTAATATTCTTTAGTCAGCTAATAATCATTATGTTTGGCCTTACTACTTAAGCTGCATTTGGTCTTATGAATAAGGGACTGTTGATGATCAGGGTGCATCTTTGAATACCTGTCAGTTTCTACTAGAAGAGCACTGTGGGAGAAGTGGGAAAAGCACTAGACTGTTCAGACTGAATTGTCTTAATGGGTTAATGGCTAACATCCCAGCCCCTTAGCCCCAGTGCTGATCAGAATTCCTGCCTAGGCCACTATGATGAAGGTCAATAAGGCAGAGAGATCAGATAAAGACACAGGAAGGCATGATCTCAGCACAGGCTTTGAAGTCAGCCATCACTTTACTAGTTTATATACCATCTGGGTTTATATACCATCTCTTTACTAGTTTACCTGATCTGTGCCTTCAGTTACAAAGGGGAAATACCGTGCATCTCACATTTTACTTTACTTTAAATATCAAGACCGCTTAGCCCTCCAGGCTTAAGTTACTTCAGAAACACTGGCCCAAGTTCTCCTGTCAGCATTGTGTCCCAAACTCTTCCTGCTCCCCCAGTCTGAGCCCTCCTGCTGTGTGACCTTGGGCAGCCTCACTTTACACATCTCTAAAATAAAAGGAGGTAGACCTTTTCTGCCTTTAGTTCATAATTTGTTAGGCTCTCATATTTTCATTATTAATGCTATACCAAACCAAACCCATTGCCGTTGAGTCGATTCCAACTCACAGCAACCCTATAGCTACAACTTTGTCAAATTCCCCATTTGCCTGCTGGCTAAAATAATGTTGCGTAAATATTCTGCCATGAATGAAACATAAAGGTCTTTTTATGAATTTTACTGATACAGCTACCTTTGAGTTTTTAAATAACATGCTTACAAAAGTATTACATAGTGTCTTAGTTATCTAGTGCTGCTGTAACAGAAATACCACAAATGGGTGGCTTTAACAAAACATTTTCTCACAGTTTAGGAGGCTAGAAATCTGAATTCAGGATGCCAACTCTAGGGGAAGGCTTTCTCCGTCAGCTCTGGGGGGGAGGTCCTTGTCTCTTTTGAGCTTCTGCTCCTGGGTAATCTTCATGTGGCTTGGCATCTCCCTATCTCTGCTTGCTTGCTTATTTGTTTAATCTCTTTTCTATCTCAAAAGAGATTGACTCAAGACACATCCTACACTAATCCTGTGTTCTTAACAAAGACAACCCATTCCCAAATGGGATTATAACCACAGGCATAGAGGTTGGGATTTACAGCACGTTTTGGGGGGACACAATTCAATCCATAACACAAAATTACTGTGGAAATTTTGCAAAGTATAAAAACACAAGTAAGAAAATAATTCTATAATCCAGAGATCATAAACTGACAAATTCTGTTTGGCCTTCATAGTGTTAAATGTACTAAATGCTGTCGAAAGGACTTGTGAGCTCCATTTTCTCACAGTCCCCACGAGCCTTTACTCCTAGCTCCCTTCCATTTTACTCATTTACTCTGGCCTTTGTGGCTTGGAGCCTGGCTTCTAACCAAAAGGTCGGCAGTTCAAGTCCATCAGCTGCTCTTTGGAAACTCTATGGGGCAGCTCTACTCTGCCCTTATAGGGTTGCTTTGAGTCAGAATCAACTCGACGGCCGTGGGTTTGGTTTTTTGGGGTTTGGAGACATTAAGTTGAAAAACTCGCAACCCAGTAATAACAATTATTAACATTCTTGTCTTTTTTCCTATTTGGATACCTAACATATATGGCTTTTATAAGTAAGGGATTAAACCATGTATGTATTTTTACTTTCTGTATATTCCCACGTAATTAAATATTCTTATACATAATTTAAAGAACCCCTGGTGGTGCAGTGGTTAAGCACTTGGCTGCTAACTGAAAGGTCAACAGTTCAAATCCACCAGCTACTCTGTGGGAGAGAGATGTGGCAGTCTGCTTCTGTAAAGATTACAGCCTTGGAAACCCTATGAGGCAATTCTACTCTGTCCTATAGGGTCGCTATGAGAATTGACTTGACGGCAGTGGGTTTGGTTTTGGTTTGATAAAAAAAACCAAACCCGTTGCCGCCGAGTCAATTCCGACTCATAGCGACTGTATAGGACAGAGTACAACTTGGTTTCCAAGAAGCGCCTGGTAGATTCAAACTGCCAACCTTCTGGTTAGCAGCCTTAGCTCTTAACCACTATGCCACTGGGTTTCCTTGTTTGGTTTGATAGATAATTTCGAATAGTTGCATAATATCCTATCGTCAAGGTATATTGTAATTTATTTAACACAATACCTTTTACTGAATAGATTGTTTCAGTTACAGATAAAACAAACACCTTTATAATAAATTTTGGTCTCTGGGGTGGATGGCATTTTCTTTAAAATGTCAAGGTAAGCCCTCAGCTGTCATTACTATCTCTACAGAATGCAATGCACACCCTACATGTTTAAATTAAGGCCTGTAGTTGTGCTTAAAATACAAAAATTAGAAAATGAGCCTTCACTGATTGCTTTGATTTTATAAGTTGATGAGACTTTGCATGTAAGGTTCAAAATACTCTAGCTATTAAGGGTTAGATACAAACCAGAAAAAAGAAAGAAAATGTAATTATAGGCCTTTTGGTAAAGAACTTAGAGATCATCTTGTCTATGAGGAGATCTTATGATAAGTTGAAGAAAGAGGCCCAGAGAACTCAAATGACTTGCCTGAGATCATGCTGCTTACTAATGGGCTCAGACTAAATGCATGTGGTCTTTCTTTTGCCCTGCCACCTCTCACTAAATATGTTGCTTCTTTAAGAGGAAGTGCGTGTAGGTCTAGTCTGTAGGGACTTTGTATACTTAAAGTGTTTGCTATTATCGGAGCCTTTGATCTGAATTCTACTTGTATGAACATATATTGGGCTGGTCTAGGTCATCTAGAGATGGAGTCCCTGGATGGCATAAAAGGTTAAGCACTCGACTACTAGCCAAAAGGTTGGTAGTTCAAACCCACCCTTGGGAGACAGGCCTGGTGGAGCAGTACTACTATGCACACATGAGGTCACCATGAGTTGGAATCGACTGGAAGGCAACAACAACAACAGGACGTCTAGAAGGGGAGATGGCCTGTATCCCACACGTGTTGCAACCCTTGCTCCTACCTCAGCAGACATTACTGATCAATCATTGCACTCTATTTCAGGCCAAAATGTTCTTAAAATCGTTCTCCACTCTTGTTTCAGGCAGCCACAACCAATTGGTCAAATTGGTTTATGAGCTAAAATATATTAGCCACCACTAAATTAAGCCATTCTTAAAGCTGAGGTAATCTATATGTCTGTGTTGCCTTCACCTGCAGCACACCAGAAGTTAGGACACACTCCAGTCAATAATTGTGGCTCAGTATATGCATGTGAAAGCTGGGCAATGAATAAGCAAAACTGAAGAATTGACGCCTTTGAATTACAGTGTTGGCAAAGAATATTGCATATACGTGAACTGCCAGAAGAACGAAAAAATCTGTCTTGGAAAAAGTACAGAATGCTTCTTAGAAGCAAGGATGCTTCGTTTCATATACTTTGGACATGTTATCAGGAGGGATCAGTCCCTAGAGAAGGACATCATGCTTAGTAAAGTAGAGGGTCAGCGAAAAAGAGGAAGAACCTCAATGAGATGGATTGACACAGTGGCTACAACAATGGGCTCAAGCATAACAATTGTGAGGTTGGAGCAAGACCAAGCAGTTTCATTCTGTTGTACATGGGGTCACTATGAGTTGGAACCGAGTCGACGGCACCTAACAACAACACAGAAGTGATTCTCACCCGGGATGTCATGCTTTCCTAGTTGGGGGTAGAAGTAAAAAAAAAAAAAATTCATGAGAAGGGGAAGGAGGAACATAGTGTGAAAAAGTCCTGTAGGTGGTTTTTATGCCTGCATTTCCCACAGTCTGGAGTAACTGCTTTAACACAATTCATTGTTGGAAATTGTGACATGGTCACATCATTTAGAGATTCTATTTCTGGTACCTATTGCAATGCAAAATGTGTGTGTGTGTGTGCTCATGTGCTACAATTTTGTATGTGCTTGATTAAATGTAACTGTGTTATGTATGCAATGTATCTGCACATTCCCTATGTAGAGTTTGCTATGGAACAGGATGATGCACGTGCCTTAAAATCGTTACCATCCTCATTGTAATAATCATTTTCCTTTTCTATGAGTGCTGAAGTTCTGACACTTGGTGGTAAATTCAGATTAGTTTTCTGGGCTGTGGAAATTATGATTAACAAGTATGAGGTTTAATTCATATTAAAAGAGATTAATCTATCCTGAAAATAAACAAAGGCTGTGACCATTTTTTTTTTTCTATTGACCTGTCTTGTTTAGATACGTGACAGAAAGCACAGAGAGTAGGCAATTGACTTTTTCAGTAAATAGCCTCTTATCTAAAGTGCTATACAAAGTTCATTAGTAAACAATTGTATATACATTTTGTCCTTTTGTTTTACATTTTAAAAGGAGCTTCAACAAGAGTGATAGTGATTCATTCACTAATTTGTAAATTGATTCTTCAAATGTTTATTGAGACCCCATTGGGTATCAGGCTCTTCTGTTTGGAGCAACCAAGTTGAATAAGGCATGGCCACAGCCCTCAAGGCGCTTACATTCAAGTAGTGGAGCCAAATAGGTTTAACAGAGGATTGCACAGGTTATCGGTTTTGCAAGCCCACTAGTACCACTTGCCACTGAATGGATTCCGACTCATGGCAACCCTGTGTGTGTCAGAGTAGAACTGTGCTCCATAGGATTTTCAGTGGCTGATTTTTCGGAAGTAAATCACTAGGACTTTCCTCTGAGGAGCCTCTAGGTAGGCTCGAACTGCCAGGCTTTCATGCTAACCATTTGCACCCTTCAGGGACTCCTTTGGCAAGGCAGTTAGTTCCCTGTTATCCTGCCAAGGAGGAACGCCTTGGTGGACACTTGCATAGTAGTGGGGCATCTCTGTATCAGGATATACTTCAAAGAAGTCTACCTCACTACACTGATACACTTGATAGAATAACAAATCAGTGTTTGGACATAATCAAGTATTTCTTAAAAAAGTATCTGGGATAGTTACATGCCTTCAAGTCGATTCCAACTCATGGTGACCCTATATGACAGTAGAACTGCCCCATGTGGTTTACAGGAGCAGATCGCCAGGTGTTTTCTCCTGTGGAACCGCTGATGGGTTTGAACTGCCAACCTTTTAGTGAGCAGCTGAGCGTTTAGCCATTGCATTTAGCCATTGCACGACCAGGTCTCCTTGTCTAGGATAGTACCTTATTCTTAGGGCCAGATAAATTAATACTCACCGTGATATACACTAAACATTTTTTTATTCCCCTTGAGTTATGATACTTCATTTGCAGAAGGGAATGACGTTTTATCAGTATTTTACTAGAGAGTATTTTGTTTTTTCCTTTCATTAGGCAGTTGAGTCAGAAATAGGAAGTGCAGCTTGTGGAAGCCATGAATGAGAAATGAGATTTTGCCATTTCCGTTTCAGTGTTTAATTTGCTAAATTAATAAATATCATCTGAAGATTATTTAAAGAGTAGTTAAATCTTTCCAGGTTTATTTCATCTACCTTTTTAAAAAATTCATCTTTTTAATATTCATCCTTGTTTTCTGTGCATTCAGAGGTAGTCATTAAAAGGTGTTTATTTTTAATATCAGAAAAGTTTTTTAAAATGGAGTGTTGCCTTTTTTTTTTCCTAATTGTATTTTGTAGCAATTTGTGTATGTAGTTTAAAAACTTAAATAGTGCTAAAAGATGTACTGTAAAAAAAAGTCCCTCAGCCTCTACCCAGAAACAACCTCTTTGTACTGCCTCAGTAGTTTATT